TTAAAAAATAACAAAATATAAATAAATAAAATTTAAAATTAGAGACCAAGGTTGGTCGCTATATAAAGAGAAAACAGGTTGAGACCAACTTTGGTCGCTAATTTGGGACCCAGTTATAAAATTTTAATAATTATAATTTTGTTTAAAAAATTTATAAAATATAAATAAATATAATTCAACTTTAGCGACCAATGTTGGTCGCTCAGTAGAGTATAGACCAACTTTGGCCGCTAAGCTGGGACCCGGTTAATATTTTAAATATAATAAAAAGATAAATAAATCTGATTTAAGTTTAGCGTCCAACTTGGGTCGCTAATTTAGAATTATGTATGTTTAGCGACCAAAGTTAACCCTACTTGGTATATATACATGAGAGAACGTTTTTGAGAGAAATTTTTGACCAAGGAAGAGCACAGAGCTGCCGTGGAGGCCGGGTTTCATCTTTTCTTCCACCAACTTAGTAATTTTTATGTTTCTTTGTATGATTTGTTGTTTTGCTACCATGTCTATGTGGAGCTAAACTTCACGTTCTAGGGTTGTGGTTCTTTCATGACTATCGTTATTCGGATATTGATTTTGATTTCTTAGTTTATCATATTGGTTTATTTATTCAATCCTGCACTTAATTATTTGATTGCTTGATCACCAATTGAATACTATCTTCGAATCTAGAGTTGAACTCGAAAGTGGAAATTCTAGATTGCATATAGGATTGAGTAGAGCAAGTTCTTGAACCTGGGCCTCGGGGAACGGATTCGTGGTTATGATAGACATATACCTAATTGCCTTGCTTGGTTGATATACAAGAATTATAAATGCGTTCTTGTTGATTCTAATTCCATAGACATATAGGAGTTAGGTTAGCTTGAATAGGCGAGTAAGAACTCGACAGATTCTTATGAGCAATATTAACCCTGTCAACCAATAAACTAGATAAATTAGTTAGTTAATTCAATTGAAGAATACAATAGGAATGTCAGATAGCCCATAACCCTAGATCGTTTTCATTACATTGATATCATAAAAATCTGCTCATTCTCTGTTAAAAGTTCATTATTTGTTTTTATTTATTCAATTAGTTTAGAATCAAATACTTCTAGGTTTAATTCTTGTTTAGATAATTAGGAGAGTCTAATTTAGTTAATTGTTAATCACAAGTCCTCGTGGGATCGACATCCGACTTTTAGTCACTTTATTACTTGACGATCGCGTGCGCTTGCGTGTGCGTTTGGCCGCAACAAGTTTTTGGCGCCGTTGCCAGGGACTTAGAAATTAACTATTTTTCTAAATTAGACTTTTACGTTTATCTTTACAAGTTTTTTTTTCTTCTCTTTTTGTAAATATTTTTAATTTTATAACCATTTGACTTTTCTCTTAGTGTGTTTCTAGTTCTCTCAACATGACATCTGGGAATAACATATTTGGAGATAAGGTTATTGATGAAGACGCTTGGTTGGCGGAAGACTTTTATGGCCCGTCTTTTTGGGCTTGTCATGGTCTGACTTCTTGGAGGTCTGAATTTGAATATGGGAGTAAGGGTTGGTATTGGGAAGAATATTCACGATTAAGGGAATATGAGGAACGGCGTTGTCTTCTAACAACGTTGGTGAATGATTGGTCTAAGGAGAGAGATGAACTTGCACATAAAATTGATAATTGGCTGTGCATAACTTAGATGCAGATTTGAGTGTAAAGGTTGATGCGTGTAACGCCCAACAAATTAATAATGAGTTGTGTGAAGCTGAAAAAAATCTTCTAGACCAAATTGAGGAGCTAAAACGAGAATATCAATCACTAGACCCTGTTTTTCTTGAGGATGCCAATATTGAGAAGAGTGCTCTAGAGTCACGTGAGGGAATAGATAACATTACTTTGGGAGACTTGAGTGTGTGTAAATATGGGGATGCAAATAGTAGTAAAATTCATGAGTTAGGGCGCATTAGACCTCATTCCAATCATTTTTCCACATTGTGTTAGATAGTAAGATAGTAATCGAGCCATCTGAGCCAATGAGGGAGTCAAAGAGTGAGGATGAGAGTGCCTATATTCTTGAATTTGTTGTGCCAAAAAGCGAAAATTATATTCCCCATCTAAAGGCCGAGAGGTGTAGAGTGAAAATTTTATTACTTGACCTGGTTATCTTTGTAGCCCCACCAAAGGTGCATAGCCACAGACTAGATGCCATGTTAGGGGTACAATTCATAAGTTCAAGGTGGAGACAAAAATTGGTTCAAGTCGTGCCGCGACTTTAAATTAGGCTCTTGTTGGGAGGCAACCCAACTTTACTGCTTTATTTTATATATGTCTATTTTATTATTTTTATTATTTTTGTAGTGTTGTTTTATTTTGTAGGATTTTAAGCATAGAAGAAAAGCAACTGGAAGTGCAAAAGTCAGCTATGTGGTTAGAACTAAGTGTGGGGTTCCCGCACAAAGGACTGTACCTGGGAGAAATCTGAGTATCCCGTGAACTGCTAATGCTTCGGCCTTTGGCCTACCAGGGAGTCTCTTTTACCCTCTTGTTATTTTTAGTGTGCATTGAGGACATTGCACAATTTTAAGTGTGGGGTGAGGAGATTGTCTGGGTGATTTTCTGTGCTATGTTAGCTTTGTTATAATACTCGTTCTTAGTGTAGTAATTTAAAAAAAAAACAAAAAGAAACATGAAAAAAAAGAAATTAAAAAATTTGGACTTTTCCCGACGATGGATTTTGTGGACAGCTTTCTTGAAGGATTAAAGTCTAAACAAAAAAATACAAAAATATGTCTTTTAGCTTTTTTTAGGTAGCAATAATCCCCCATGACGGTTCTTTTCCATGGGATGTAGTTTGAACCGGGTAGTAGTATTTTTTTAATTTTTTAGAGTAGATTAGAATTTAGGGAATAAATGGAGGAAGAAAGATGAGATAAACCTAGGCGCCCTTGACTTGTTTGATAGTAGCATATTTAGGCTTTGGCATGTGTAGTATCTTCCCTATGATTTGAAATTATTGATGATGCGTTGCTTACTTGGATAGCATGTCTTGTGATGCCTATGTCTCATTTTCTTGACTTATGTTCACTTTGTGCTTAATACTTAATATCTCGTGACTCCGTGAATACTTGCATTTGTTTGAGAGTCGGAATGAGACCGTTCTTAGCGAGTCATGTGCCATGTGTGGGGAGATTTTTGTGTAGTCTATGTATTGTAATTGAGTCTAGAACTTGCCCGGTATGTGAGTTGAAGCGAAATTTTAGGTGATGTTCGGTTTGAAAAGTGATTTTAGGCTTTCTTTGATCTTTTGAGCTTATTGCTTATCACAAATAAAATTTATCCCTAGTTAACCCTTTTGAGCCTATGGACTTTTATTTGGCACCAACATTACAAGCCTATACCCTTTTGATTCTTAATTGACATTGTTTTGATCCTTTTACCTTTTAAAGCACTTTAATTGTGAGATGAGCGCTAAAAGAAGTAAGAATGAACTAAGTGTTGGGTGGCTTTTGAGTGGAACCAATAAAAGGAAGAAATGTGCACTTGTTTTGTAAAATAATATACCACTAGCGGAAATTGAAAAAAAAAAGAATAATCTGGAAAAAAAAGAAAAAAAAGAAAAAGAAAAATAGAGATGAATAAATTGTTGTCTTGTTCCTGCTAGTGGGTATGAATTAATGTAGTGCTTAAAGAAGAAGGGAGCATTTTTGGGTGATATTCTTTGTGAAAGTGAAGTGATTGAAGAATTTGCGCTTAAAGTTGATTATGTGATGTGTTAAAGTGCTTAGGAGGGTTAGTCACTATTCCTAAATATATCCTACCCGTTCCTTAGCCCACATTACAACCATGAAAAAGTCCTAATTGATTTTAGATCGAGCGAGCCTACATTAGTAGAGATTTACATTAAGGGCAAGCCTATGGTACCAATTGCATGCATGTGACTTCTTTTGTGAGGGTGAGCGATATTTTCTTTTGATATATATGAGTCCTTAAAATATATTTGATCATGAGATTCGAATGTGTGGATTCAACTTACTCTCTTGCCTTGGTTGTGAGGGCACATGGTTTCACGAAGGATAGGTAACATTATTAGACTTCTCTAGGATGTTGGGTGTTCAAGCCATGAGTGCATTGTGACATTGAGTCGGTTTTTGAGGCTAGGATTGTTGTGAGCATATTGTCTTTGTTTGAATATTTTTGAAGAATGACATAAGTAAAGGGAAGTGTATGATGATTGCATATGCTAGAGTTTAATTGTCGCTATCAACCATGGTCATTGGTGTAGTGTGCTCCAAATGTGTGCTTCGAATATGTTAAGTGCTCATAGATAGAGTAAATTTTTGGTTGACTCGAGGACGAGCAACGTTTAAGTGTGGTAGTGATGTTTGGCTATAATTCCATATTTTTAGTGCATTACTTACATTACATTTTGATGTTTTAATGCTAAATTGTATTATATTTATGCACTTTAATTGAGTTTGAACTTTAATCGCTAGTGTTTTGCACTAATGGTGT